CTGCAGCAGCGGCAGCAGCAGCAGCTGCTGCTGCTGCCAGCTGGCCGCTGCAGCAGCAACAGCAGTTGTCTTGAGTCGAGGACTTCTGCTGCTGAAAAGATCCTTCATATTCTTCTCATTGCCTCGGCCCCTGGCAGCAGCAGCAGCAGCAGCGGCAACCCCAGCAGCAACAGCAGCAGCAACAGCAGCAGCAACCGCAGCAAGAGCAGCAACGGGTGTAGCAGCAGCCACTTATAACTGCAGCAATCTACCGGTGCTGCTGCAGCGGAATAGCTGAGGTGTTGTGTGCTGCAGCGCACTGGGCCTCGCTGGAGCAGCAGCGGCAACCCCAGCAGCAGCAGCAGCAACAGCAGCAGCAGCAGCAGCAACAGGCAGGATGAGCCTCACTGTCGAGACAGCCGAAAATGCAGCGGCTGATGGGCATCCCGTGCCCTCCACTGGGGATCAGACGTCAGCAGCAGCAGCAGCAGCAGCAGCAGCAGCAGCAGCAACAGCGGCAGCAGCAGCAGCAGAGCCAGAAACTAGCCGTGCAGCGACACCAGCACCTGCAGCAGGTTCTGCTGCTGCTGCTGCTCCTGCTGCAGATTCCTCTGCTGCAGATGCAACGGTAAAATCCGTTACAGATCTGCCCGCTGCAGCGCAGCAAAGCGCTGCAGCTGCAGCAGCAGCAGCAGCAGCAGCAAAGGCAGCAACTAAAAATTCTACTGCAGATCTCGCTGCCGCAGCAGCAGCAGCAGCAGACGCAGCAGCAGCAACAGGTGCAGCAGCAGCAGCAGCAAGGGACACAGTATCATCAAGGGACACACCAACAGCAACAGACGCAGCAACAGCAGCAGCAGCAACAGATGCAGCAGCAGCTGCTGTAACAGGAGCAGCAGCAGCAGCAGCAGCAGGTGGGGCTGCTGCGAGCCGGTCTAAGTGTGTCGCTTCAACACCAGCGGCATCAGCAGCAGCAGCAGCGGAGGCAGCAGCTGCGGCTTCTGCTGCAGCGGCAGCAGCAGTAGCAGCAGCAGCAGCTGCTGCTGCTGCTGCAGAAGAGAATTATTCACGCGGGGCATCACGCGAGACAGACATGGGTGCTGCCGAGTTAGAAGCTGCTGCTGCTGCTGCTGCTGAGGAAGCAGCAGCAGC